CAACTTCGCATGGCGTCCCCCCGCCCAGTTTGGCATGTGTCTCACTCGTGTCGTGCTCCATAAAGCGCTCCACCTGCGGCCTCAATGGGCGGGTTCGCGCGAGGGTACCCGGATTATTCGGCACACCTTCACGCGGATCGTGCACCATATGGAATTCAGCGCGCATGTACCCGCTGGCTCCGCAGCAGCCCGCTATTTGTCAGGCCCGCGGCGCGGAGTATATGATGAGAGGGCCGCGCCCTGCGCTACGCGTGAATGCACATGGACGGGGCCGGCACAAGGCCAATTGTTTTCGTATCGAATACGCCTGCGGCGAATCACCGCCGCCCCCTGCCTTCTAGAACCGCCCATTTGGCCGAGCGCTGTGCAATAGCCCTGCCAAGCTATCGGACCATGTGTTCCCCCAACCGCTGTGGAAACCCTTCGGGGAACACTTGGGGGAGGATGGCGGGGAAGATCAGGAGGAGGCGGCGGAGGAGGGGGGCGCATCTTGGGAGCCTCTGGGGACACTCTTGGGGCCTCCTGGGAGCTTCCTGGGAGCCTCTTGGAAGCATCTCGGGGGCCTTTGGGGGCTCCTCAGGGGCCTCATTGGCCGTTTTGGTGGGCTCCTGGCCCGTCTGACGCCGTCGGAAGCCGTCTTGGGGGCCTCTCTGGGCCGACTTGGGGCTCTCTTGGGGTGCTCCAAGGCCGTCTTGGAAGCCATCTTGGGCGTCTTGGAGGCCTCTTGGGCCGTTCTGGGCTCTCTTGGGGCCGTCTTGGGGGCCTCTTGGGCCGTTTTGGTGTCATCCTGGAGGCCTCTTGTGCGCTCTGGGGGCGATCTTTGGGGGCTCTTGGGCCGTCTCGGGCCGTCCGAAGGCCGATAAGAAGCAAATGCCCAAATCCTTCAAAAACCTTAGGACAATGACTGATTTTGGCATCTCCGGGCCTTCCTGGAGGCCCTCGTGGAAAACTCTTGGGCCGTATTGGGCCATCTTAGAGCCATCTTGGACCGTCTTGGTGGGCGCTTGGCCCGTCTGACGCCGTCGGATGTCGTCTTGGAAACTTCTCTGGGCCCCCTTGGGGCTCTCTTGGTGTGCTCCAGGGCCATCTTGGAGGCCATCTTGGGAGTCGTGGAGGCCTCTTGGTTCGTCTTTGGGCCCTCTTGGGGCCTTCTTGGGGGCCTCTTGAGCCATTCTGGTGTCATCCTGGAGGCCTCTTGGGCGATCTTGAGCCGATCTTTGGGGGCTCTTGGGCCGTCTCGGGCCGTCCGAAGGCCGATAAGAAGCAAATGCCCAAATCCTTCAAAAACCTTAGGACAATGACTGATTTTGGCATCTCCGGGCCTTCCTGGAGGCCCTCTTGGAAAACTCTTTGGCCGTATTGGGCCATCTTAGAGCCATCTTGGGCCGTCTTGGTGGGCGTCTGGCCCGTCTGACACCGTCGGAAGCCGTCTTGGGGGCCTCTCTGGGCCGACTTGGGGCCCTCTTGGGGTGCTCCAAGGCCGTCTTGGAAGCCATCTTGGGCGTCTTGGAGGCCTCTTAGGCCATCTTTTGGCCCTCTTGGGGCCGTCTTGAGGGCCTCTTTGGTAGTCCTGAGGCCATCTTGGAGGCCTCTTGGACGCTCTGGGGGCGATCTTGGGGGGCCTCTTGGGCAGTCTCGGGCCGTCGGAAGGCCGAAAAAGAGCAAATACGAACATCCTTCAAACACCGAATGAAAATTCGTGATGTTGGTCTCTTCGGGCGTTCCTGGATGACCTCAGGGAGGCCTCTTTGGCTATCTTGGAGGCCTCTTGGGGGGCCCTTGGGCCGTCATGAAGGCTTCTTGGGCCGACTTGGAGGCATCTTGGACCCTCCTGGGCTGTCGTGGAGGCCATCTTGGATCGTCTTGGGCGAACTTGGAAACCGCCTCGGGCCACCTGAGCCGTCTTGGAGGCCAGCTTGGGCCATCTTGGAGCCGTCTGTATCAGGAAAAACCTTTGCAACCACCTCTTTCCAAGTGGCCGGCGGGACGGGCGGGAGAGTTCTTTTGGAAAAATAACCAAAACCCTAACCGAAAGGGTCCAGCACGCTGGGCAGCCCTGTGACAAGCACAGGGGGCGGCGGATCCATGGCCTTTGGCCTATGACGCCACCGTGCCAGAGTTTTGGGCCAGAGGCTTCTTGGATATCTGCAATTCGGGGTCTAATGGCATGCTTCTCGTGCGCCTCGTGGAGCGAGTTTTGAAGCTCCTCGGAGCCTTTTGGGGGCGTTTGAGGGCCTCTTGGGGCCTCTCTTGAGGCCCTTCCTTGTTGGCCTCTTGGGGGCCCGCTAGCGGCCTCGGGGGCGAACTTGTGACGGAGGGCTCGACGCGTGAGCCCGAGTTCCCCCTCTTGGACCCCTCTTGGGGCCCTCTTGGGCCGTGTTGGGCGCCTCTGGGGCCGCCTTGGGGGCCTCTCATGACGCCCTGGGGCCCTCTTGAGGGCTTCTTGGGGGCCGTCTTAGGGCGCTCGTGGGGCTCTCTTGACGAGGAACATGCTTCTCGCATCCGCGCCGCGCAGAATTCGCCCGAAAGTGGCGCTCTTGCCTCGGCCGGACGCAATCGGTTTCACTCGCCCAGTTTGTGGGTCCCGCGCGAGCGGGCGACTCTGTGCACATTCCTCTTAAAAGTGGCGTTCCCCCGCGGGCGTGGCGCGCGTTTCGTTCGCCGAGTCGCATGACAGCGACAGCGGCAGCGACAGCGGCAGCGACAGTGGCAGCGACAGCGGGGCCGCGCGCGAGCGAGCGAAATGCTGTCCTCGCCCAAGAGCCGCGCAGCTTGTGTGTGCGAACGTGGCAGCGCTGTTTTGGCGCGGCGCATGCTTCTTCTTCGCTGCGCTCATCGGCTTTTGTTTCCGCTCCCGCCCATGCGCGGCCAGCGCAGGTGTCCATTCGGCAAGTCGCCGAAAGGGGGACCGCGCGCGAGCGCCGTCCGTTCGCTAGGTGGGAACGCGCTCCAATCTCAAGACACAGTTGCGCCATACTTGATTCTTATGCTATGAAGGGGGAGGGTGAGAATGGGCGGAGTCCGCAGATCCGTTTGAACTGGCTGATTTTACTTCACAGATTGCTTCTCCTCGATCTCTTCTCTCCTCCTTCTCCTCCTCCTCCTCCTGCTGGTTCTCCTCCCGGTCCTCCCCTTGGTCCTCTTCCTTCCCCCGCCATTCACAAATCGAACCCACTCGGATCATTGGACTGGCCATCCCCTGGCGCAATACGGAAGCCGACTCTCTGCCAATCATCAGACCGGCAATGCTAGCTTCTAGCTCGCGGTTCCGCGTTGGTCGTGCCAAGGGTGACTGCAACGAAAGAGCCCCCCCTTCTCATGCGACCCCTCTTCCCGTCCTCCTGCGCCCCCTCCTCCTCGCCAGCTCTAGAGCGGTTCGGGTGCCCCCCCGTTGCATTCAGAATTGGCTATAGGGCCCAGGCGCGAGCTGGGGCTTTGGAGTCCCGAGACGGTGCGGTGACAGACCGTGCGGCGACCTCGGAACCCCAAGAGACCTCACCGCACGGCCCGTCACCGCACGGCCTTGGGACCCTGAAGGCCCCCGTCGCCCGAGACATCCTCGGAGAACGGCCCGAGTCCCAAAACCGTGCGGTGACCCCGAATCCCCACCGACTCACCGCGCGGTGTGGTCACCACACCGTTTTGGGGGCCCCTGGAGGGGCGTCGGACGGCGACCAAACAAGCGGCAGCAAGGCCCGTCAGGGCCCGCCAGGGAGCAGCTCCTTGGCAACCGAGGACCCGCGCGCTCTCCACCGCGAGCCCGAAGAAGGGCCGGACCACTGTTCCACCCCCTCCTCCCCCCCCCTTCTCATCCTCCTCCTCCTCCTTCTCGCCCTCCTATCCTCCTCTTTCTCGCTCTCCTCCTCCTCCTTCTCGCACTCCTCCTCCTCCTTCTCCTCCTCCTCCTCCTCACCCTCCTCCTCCTCATCATCACCCTCCTCCTCCTCCTCCTCCTCCTCCTCCTCCTCATCATCATCATCATCACCATCACCACCACCACCACCACCACATCATCATCATCATCATCATCATCATCATCATCATCATCATCATCATCATCATCATCATCATCATCATCATCATCAGCATCATCATCATCACCATCATCATCATCATCATTATCACCATCACCATCAGCATCAGCATCAGCATCAGCATCAGCATCAGCATCAGCATCAGCATCAGCATCAGCATCAGCATCACCACCATCATCACCATCAGCCCGCTCATCCGAATCATCCTCCTCCCCTCTCCCACCCTGCTTCTCGTCATCGCCCTCCGCATCCAGCGCCTTGTCTTCATTCCCCCCTGCTCGTCCTCGGCGCTGTCCTCGTCCTCCTCTGACCCCCGCCTCCTCTGCGTCCTCATGCTCAACCTCGGTCCGCACCTCCAGTAACTGCATGCCCCTGACATTAAACCCTGGGGAGAATAAAGTTCGGGGTCCAGGAGGGATGATACACGCTTCCCCAGCAGATCGGAGGATGATGATGCTGCTGTTGCTGCTGCTGACGATGATGGTGATGGTAATAATGATGATGCTGATGATGATGGTGATATGCTGATGATGATATTGATGATGTCGATGATGCAAATAATGGTGGTGATGCTGATGATGATGCTGCTGATGATGATATTGGGCGCTCCTCTAGATCCTCGCTCTGATTGTCCTTGGCGCTCCTCGAGATCTGGCACCCAAAACTTGCCTATGCTCTGGCACCTAACGCTAATCTGAAGCTTGCCATACATTCGTGACTTGGAAAAGCTGAAATGGTGAGAAACCAATGGCCCTGCCACACGTTCGTGATTTGAGGAAGCTGGAATAGTGAGAACCCTATAGCCCTGCCACACGTTCGTAACTTGCGAAAGCTGAAATAGTGAGACCCCCGTTCCCATGCCACACGTTTTTGATGATGTTGCTAGTCGACATAACAAGATAGCAACTTCGATTCGCAACTTTCCCCAACCCCGACCAAATCTGCTAATAAACTCTCAGTCCTGAAGGGGGGGATGATTTCGGGGATCGCGGTTTGATCACTCCGCCAGGCGTGCCGAAAGCTGATCCGCAAGCTATCAGAGTAAGCGAGCACGCGCTTCACGATGGTCTGGGTCGGCCTCCCAAGCCAAATATTCCTTGGCTAAGGAACGAATGAAGCCGCCCTGAAGATACCTAAGCGTTGCACCAACCATTGTACTGCCTAGATGTTCTAACCATTTCTTGGGCATGAGTTTGCGGAAAATGGTCGGTGGGTCGACATCCACTTTGATAGTTGAAGCTATGTCGATCGACCGCGTGGAATCCTCGTCCAGCCAAGTGAGAGTAGCGCGCACTGAAAAGCAGAAGCGGTCATTGAGACGATACTTGAAGGCATCGGCACCACGAAGTGTGCACTCCGTCCCCTCGATCACGACTTGGTCGGGGAGTGACCGCACGGTACACATGACGACGGGCTGCACTGAAACCACACCAGGAATATTAACATACGGCACGATCAACTCAAAAAGTTCCCCGCCGCCCTCGAGGGGTAGCCGTTCACGGACTCGCTCCAACGATGCACCAAATGGCAGTGGTATCAGTGCGTACTGGCTGGCCGGCAACTGCATGTACTTCGTCAACGAGGCCGCAACGTTTTCGCGAAGCGGCAATGGCACGGCCACCGTATGTTCGCCGCTCGCCTCCACGTGGAAATCATGCTTGCCGATGCGATCGGTTCTCCTGCCGTGACCCTCGAAAGGGGTGACGACCTTGTCAGTGGTAGTTTGCCTCACAGGTGCATCGCCAAGTATGGCCTGTGGTGCTGTTTTTCCCTCCAGCTGCTTGGTCCGCACAATAGTTCGCTGCTTCCGGCGGTAGAATGCACGTTGCCGCGTGGAACTTCCAAAGGCTGCCAAACAAAAAAATGGGAAAAGCCTGCTGCCCGACAATGCCAATGTGTGTGTCCCTGCCCGACACCACATAATGATGATGTCCGGCGGGGCAGCACAGCGAGCTATGTAATACCGTGCAGAAAATAAAGTGTTTGGTGGAACCGTCGAATATTTTCCCCCTGCGACTGTCGTTAACACGCAACCAGTTGCGAAAGACATTGCGCACAAGGAATGCGTGCAACTCTGATGATACAATCGCGAACCCAAGAAGATGTGACGAAGAATACGGCAAGAGGGTGCTTCTTCGCTCCAGCATGAAACAAGCTACGGACACGCGACTAGTTGTCTGAAACCGAATATGAATGTAGTGACGTGAGAAAATATGCAAGGCCACGCATAACAACACACAAATTGCACTGCGGGAAGATGAAACACATGTGTGAACACTTTAGCGTGTTTCGCTTGAAACTGAATCATGATCCTGAAGTGCTAGTCACGGGCTTGACTTGATAGTCATACTTCCCAGGTTAGGGTTCGACAAGATGTTAAGCCAATACTACCACCAGAGGTATCTACATCACCGGGCGGACCTTACCCAGTCATCGATTCAACATCGGTCCAGATCTCGGTCACCAATACTCTCACGCCGCATCCCGAGGTCCCCAGCATGCGGGAACCATGTGTGTGGCTCCTGGGGGGCAGAACAGCCGTCCGAAAGGTGAAGTGGAAGAGATCTGTCCTTAATCCCTTGCGGATAACACGTGTTACCCGGGGGGGGCCGGCGGGAGGGGTAACAGTACCGGCGGCCAGCGCGCACCCCTGACGGCGCGTCCGCAACAACGTCAAAACATAGGTGTGTTTATGACAGCGCCTGCGTGCACTACAACGCCTGTGTACTTCACAGTGCCTCTGTTCACCATCGCGTACGTACATCACAGCGCCTGTGTATCTCAGCACCGGCGTGCGCAACAGCGCCATTGCATACCAAAGTGCCTGCATGCACAATATCGCTTTTTTACACCACGGCGCCTGCACACATCTCAGCAGCCGTGTGCACCACACGGTGGCCGTACACGACAGTGCCGGCGTGCACTGGAACGCTTGCGTACACCACAACACAGCGTCTGTCGAGACCATCGATGACGACGACGACGACGACGTCGACGACGACGGCGCTGGCGACGACGACGACGATGTCACTGCCTGTTCGGGGATCTTCTGACCCGGGTCAATCCAGACCCGGGTCAGCAGGAAACCAAAAACTGCAATGCAGGAAAAAACTGCAACGCAGGTCTTCGCAAAACCGGGTCAGCCAATATGCGCGGCCGCCTCGCGGCCACGAGCGGCTCGCTAATCCGGGTCAGCCAGAGGGGGTCTTCGCAGGATCCTGCAGGATCTGGTGCCCTGGCTGACCCCCGTTTGCATTGACCCCCGTCTCAAGGCTCCCGACCTGTGCCCCTTCGGGTGCCTCCGGGCCGCATCGGTCGTCGTCGCCCCACGGGCACCACGGGATATCATCGGGACAGCACGGCGGGCCACCCCGCGGCCACCGCCAGCCCCACGCGGCCGGGGTGGGGCGGACTCTTCGCCTCGCCCGCGCACGCGCGACACGAACCCTACGCCGAAACCGATTTCCCGGTGGGGCGCTCTCCGCTTCACTATGGTCCAGGCCTCGGAACAAATTAGCGAACATTCATGATGCTACATTCATCTGTCAACGGCTCCCCCCTCCCCCCAATGTTCAAAGTTGACGGTGGGTCTGATGAGATGCACTTCGACCGCAATTTCCCCCGCGCGTGCCAACGTTGAGGTTGGGGGGAAGGGGAGTGTTCAGTAATTTTTTCCCTCTACCGTCTCACCCCCTTACCTCCGACACTTTCGGAGGACCACGCGGCTTTCTGGGATCGGCGCTGGACCCCGCGCCAGGGGGCTCCAGCACCGATCAGGAGAGGTCCGCGCTGCCCTCCGAGAGTTCATGCTTGTGCCGTTCTCTGCCTCGACGAGAGCAGCACCCCTTCCCCAGTGCCCCTGTGGAACTGTCGTCCAGAGGCCAGGATAAAGCGTGGGGGCGGAGACCGCTAGAGGCTCAAGAGAGTGGATCGACTCGGTGCTCAGGTAGCAGAACAGAAGTCGAAAAATGGAGAAACACGCGTCCGTCCTGCTACCGCAACGAGTGGGCTGTGCTAGCCATGGCTGGCGTGGGCCACGAAGAGGTTTCCCGACCCAGATCTACAGAAGAGCCCGAAAACCACAGCCCCTCAGGAACCCCTGGCGGTCCTTCTCATAGCGCCTTGACTGCATGGTTCGTCCCGGAAGCTCTGAATACCCCGCAAGGCAGATGAATCCCCCGGAAGGCAAATGTCTACTTCCACCGGCTCCCGCCGGCGGAGGCATCCCCGCTCTACTTCCGCCGGCTGCCGCTGGCCTTCTGCCACCTTCCGGCAAGAAAGAGATGTCAAGTTCTCGATCCTTCGAAGGCGAGGCCCCCCTCTGGAACGCCAAAGTACTTGCACATATTCCTGTCGTTCCGTAGGAAGTGGCCGCCGAGGTAGCGAGTGAGGCGAGTAGCCCCTTCATCGGGAGACCGAGCAGATGAACGATCGTGCATGCGCAGCCTGTGATTCATCGACTTCTCTGGCGGTGCAGCCCGCGTCGCGGCCGGCGGAGATGACGGCTATGCCGTATGCCGCCAACTTCGTCAGGTTGGTGTCCGTATCCTGGGGGAGGCCCAAGGTGGAGAGTCGACTACGAAACGCCAGAAAGGGAACCATCAGAGTCGGGTGGAGGCATCGGAGGGATTAACTCGCAGTGTGCCGTATCCGCCACGGTGCCGCGAGGCCCTGAGTGAGGCGTCCTCAGAGGTTCCATCGGGTTCTTCGTGGTGAGTATTGCAAGATTTGGACGCCCGAAATGGGCACGGAAAAAATGGGCACAATGCCCAACAGCACATGTTGTCCCAAACCAACAGCGGCCGCTGTTGGACAGGCGGCCTTCTGTCTTGAATGGACACAGGCCGCGGCGGCGTGGACAGCGAGTCCTGCTCAAAATGAACAGGAACTGCTTTTGGGCATTGTACCCGTTCTTTCCGTGCCCATGCCGTCCGTGCAGACAAGAACTCTCCAGAAGGCCCAGGGCCTGGAAATGCTGGGCGCTCCAGGGCGCTCCATGGGGCCGATGCATCGGTGACAGGCCCCCGATAGCAGCACCGCAGGTGCCTGGACGGTGCGGGGGGCCAAGGCCCCGATCGGCGATGAGTGTGCGCTTCGGTGTCGATGCATTCCAGTCTTAGAGAGCAGCAAATCCGCCCTCATAATAATTACCCCGACACGCGAAGTCGTTTAGTAAACGCACCCAAAGAAGGAACCGAACAGGGCAGGGCTGTTTATCAAACGCCCAGGGCCGTTTCGTAAACGCCAATTGTCGGGTCTGGCTTGAATTCTGAGCATGTTCCCCTACATTTTTGCCCCTCGCTTCCAGGTCACGACTCGGACGATTCGGGCCCCCCCACGCCGAGCGCTTGCGGCGAGACGCGGCTGCTGGGAACGCAGCCGGAGGCTGGGGAACCCGTCGAGGACCAACGAAAGCGCCCGAAAGCCTCGGACCTTAAACGTGAAACTTTTCGCCTCCCTTGCCGCGCCCCCTGGACGTCGCCTTTTCCCTCACATGCCGCTCATCGACCACGAGGCACGAGCTGAGACCCCATTTGGGAGGCAGCGCTTGATTCTTGCGTGCCTGCTGGGCGCAGCAGATCAGAAAAGGAAAGTAGGAAGAGGAGGAGAAGAGAAAGAGGCCTGATCCTCCTCCTCCTCCTCCTCCTCCTCCTCCTTCCTCTTCCTCCTCCTCCTCGTCCTCCTCCTCCTCCCTCGTAAGCATCCTCCTCCTCACTCCTCCTCCCTCCATTTTCCTCCCCCTCCTCATCCCGCCTCCTCCTTCCTCCGACTCCCTCCTCCTAGCTCTACTCTTTCCGCTTTCCGCTCCCTGACGGCGGCCCCCGAGGGAACCACCGCAATCCGAACGCCTCCACTACACGCCGAGGAAGCCACAGGACTGCCTACACACTCCAGGCTCCCTACTCCGAATCCTCCCAGCGGATGTCCCGCCTCTCGCCCAAAACCTCATACAGCCCCCGAGCCCACCCGACGCGGCGGGGATGGAGAGGGGGCTGCACGGGGCAAGAGCGGGGGATGGGCCGCTTGGAGGAGGGGTCCAGCCCCTGCTTTAATTGTCGCAAGGCCCGTGCTCGGCCATCCGTGGGGTGTCCTGCGCAGCGGTCCGCGAGGGCCAAAATCTGCCGTCTGGCATACGCCCCGCACAACGAGCACCACACAAGACCGCCAGGACCCCCCGAGCACAGGAGCCTGTGAGACCAATGTGCCTGAGCGAGCTTAGCCATGACACCAGGGCACCTGTCGTGCACCAGCCTGGCTCGAGTCGAGCAGCTGCGGCCACAACACAAACACACCCAGCGGCCTCCAAAGCACTTAGCCTGATGCCCTTTGGGATCCGACACGAGCTCGAGCGGATCGAAAGCGCGACGGAGCCGAGGCTTAAGAGCATCGGGGAAAGAAGAGGCGGCGAGGTGCGCGAGGATCCTGCCAGAGTAGAGGGCGACGAAATAGGCCGACCACCACAAAAGCGGCCTCAACTCCTCTACCTCCTCAGAAGAGGGGTGCAACCTCGCGCCTTTCTTGGCATACACGTCAGCTAGCTTATTAGCTCTGTAGTGAAGCCACGGGACCCCTTGTGCCTGTGCATGAGTCCAGGATTCGTGGCTTCGCATCCAGTGCAAGTGAATCTGCTCAAGACCTATCTCGTCGATCTTGAACCAAATCTTGCACCAAACTTCAGAATACACCCTCGTGGGACGGCAGCACGCTTCAGGCCCTGCCGCCACACCATCGATGAGAGACTTACAATCGGTGACAACCGTAACCTCGCCTACACAATTGCACAGACACATATAAAAGGCCCAGAGCTCTGCTGCTCCGATCTCCTGCAAGACCCCAGGGTGGGGCCCAAATATGGCTCCTTCCGAGTTCCCGTGGCGGTCTATCTTCACGCAAGACCAACCAGCCCTAGAAGCCAGAGGAAAATTGGGCGCCAAACAGGACCCGTCGATGCCAACGAGACCTGAGAGGGCCCCTCCTACCATGGGCCCGTCAAACTCCACGAGCCCATCGAGCCTCGGGGAAGGTTGGAGGTCAAGCAAAGAGTCCACGAGGCCCCTGTGGAGGAGGGGATCCTGATGCTCGCACTCTCTGCCTGCACGCGTGACGTCGTCCAGGTCAAGGTCACGTCTGACCACAGCACTGAATTCACATCTGAACAAACGATGCCCCTCGTCTCCTGGCTCCGCCTTGCAGACCTGACACAAGGGCGAGTCGACGGACCGTGCCGCGAAGAGGCGCGCCTGCGTCCAGAGCCCCCCCGCGACATGGGTCCCGAGGAGCTGCGCCGCCGTCTTGAATCCCTCACGTCGAAGCTGCTGCTGAGCCTGACGGATGGGCTCCAGGAGAGGGGGTCCCCCTAGGTTTTCCAAACCAGGGGACCCAGGGAGGCACCGTAGGAGCGCAAGCTCCGTTCCTAAATCGACAACTTTACGAAGCGAGCCAGGGCGGACCTCCGTCAGATCAACCAGCACCCCACCCGCCTCCCACCTCGACTCACTCTGCGGCGTCCAACCCAGGCGCTTCAAGGTGGCCAGAACAGCCGAGCAGGGCCCACGGACCCTGCCGTTAAACTTAGCAAACGCTTTGGCAAAAAGGGACCCCAAGATATCGCTCGACAACCAACCCTCGACGATCGCGCGCCCCCAGAACACCAGCGGCAAGGCGTTGCCCGCGTACACGGGATCGGACTTGGGGTCCTCACTGAGAAAAAATTGCAACGAGCGGCCCTTGCCAGCCGACGGCCCAAACAGCGCCGACCCAGCCGCAGCCCTCAGGGAGGAGAGATCCGCGTTACTCATTCCTGTCACTCTGGTACCATACAGGGCCGCGGGAGCTCCTCCTGCCTTGAATATCCGAGATAGCCCCTTTCTCGACGAGCTGAGTAACCGAAACCTGCGAATCCTTTTCCTAACGCTCAGAATCCGACCCTTCTGGACCCTGCGTGCCGCCCGTGAACGCGAAAAGTCAATCCCAAGATTCTTGACCCCGTCGACGACCACGAAGTTCCACCGACGAAGCCTGCTGGATAAAGCCTTACCCATGGTCCTGGACGACGCAACAATCCTATTCTTAGTGGGAGACACTTTCAGTCCTAGATCCTCCAGCTTGCTGCACAAAGCGTGGAGCGCTCGTACCAGCTCTCGAAATACCATCTCGGCTGGCCCGATCACTGACAACGTACAGTCATCCACCACTAGGTAGGCAGAGATGTTGACGGCGAGAGGGATGACCGAGTCGAGGGTACTGGTGAGGTACAGACGGAGAAGCATCGTAGCATATGCACACCCTGCGAGGATACCTTGAGCAACTCGAAACCACTCCGACACGAATAGCCCCACCTGCAGAACCCTAGGGGCGCTGTACATAGTGACCAGGAGGGCGACTCTACGCGGGCTGAAACCGTGCTGCACCGCGAAATCCAAAAGGCGAACGTGTCCGACATGCTCATACGCCTTCTGGAGATCAACCAGGCCTGAGGCAGAATACTGGTTGTGATGGGAGGCCCACTCGTTCATAGCGGACTGAACCCACACCGCCCTCTCACAACTCTTCCCCTGCGTGGCGTAGACCCAATCCCTCTCATGCTCCCTCTCCCACTGCTTAGCCTCAGACTTCCTGCAGGCCGAGAGAACGCGCATGCACGTGGTCAAGATGCCGATTGGACGCCTCCCCCCTTCAGGTTTCAGTACAAACCCAATGACAATCTTCCACAACTGAAACGGGAATGCGACCAGCCTCTCCATCTGCCACAAGAGGGTAGAAAACGCCAGAAGCCCATCGTCGGACAACTGGTTCAGGACGTGCGGGTGCCAACCGTCTGCTCCCACTGCCGTCCACTTCTTAAACTTGCCGAGTGTCCTCCTCAGGAGCGGCAACTCGATAGGCTGTGGGGTCGGGTCGAGGTCGAGCGCCTGTATGTGCTGCTGAATAACCGCGAGGCGGTCCAGCTCACTAACACTAGATTTCCACCCCCAGATCCCCTGCCACTCCTGGGTGAGGCCCTCCAGGAGCTGATCGGTTCCCCAAGGGGCCCCACCAGCACACTCGTCAGGAGTCCAGGCCTGGGGGATCTTGGTAACCTTGTGAGCCAGACCCCCCCCCTCCTTGTACAGAACGAGCAACGTGCTCCCGCCAGTTCTTGGCCCTGGACTTCGCGAAGATGCTTTCGATCCTGTGGGCCTCGCTCTGGGCCCTGACGATGAATGACTCCAGGTCAAGATCGGGGTGTATATCCAGGGTCCCAAGATCCGTTCTGAAGGTGTTCCAGACTGGGTCCTGCTTGAGTCGCCCCGACCAATCCAGAAGCTTGCGCCGAAGACCCAAGGCGCCCCGAGACTCGCACTGCCCTTTCCTGACCAGATACTGCAACTCTTGCAAACGATTCTGAATCAGCCTCCAAGCTCTAGCCTCGGGGGACGCCTTAGGGTAACAGCCTCCAGACTTAGGTAAAACTGGCCGCCTAACAACCGAAGCTCCACGTCCTCGGCCACTGCACCGCCTAGCTTCACTCGTCTCCAGACCGTGCAGGAGAGAGAGCTCGTCCTCTGCGGCGTCACAGAACGAGAGGTAGGCAGACGGCAGGTCGAATTCGCTATTCACATCATCGACGAAGGTGCGCACAGCCTCCCATGACTTACCTAGCGGGCGAGGACCGAAGGGGAGCTCTAGCGGGAACTGCTTGGGCAACTTGAGGGAGGGCAACACCAAGGCACACGGCTTGCCTGAGACCTCCATGTTGACGGCCCAATGGGGGGCCGTACTACAATCCTCCTGCCGACGACAGTTCGTCACAGACTGCAAAAACCCCGCAGACACGACGAAATAATCCAGACAGCTCCAGGTGGAGGAGGACCCCGAGCTCCGACAAGTGTAGGCCCCTGTGGTGACGATAGAGCCTCCTACCGCCGACGGCCATCCTGAGGCCCCTAACACTTCAGGCGCCACGTTCCAGTCACCCCCGAGAATGAACGGCTGCCCCATGGCCCTCAAGGCCTCGCCCAGCTGCTTCAGGATCAGAAAACTCTGGTCGTCGAGGCCCCCGCCAGAGACCAAATAAACCGACCCTGCAATAAAGCCTCCAGGAACCAAGCCGTTGACCCACATGAGGAGAACCCGCTCAGAGGGCCAAGGGCGCTTCGGGACAGGAGCCTCGCAGAGGCCAATGTGAGGCCACGTGCCCACCAACGCGCCCCCTGAGAGGCCTCCTCCCGTGTCCCGAGAGGGCGCAACCTTGGCCTTCCAACCTAGGCGACCTACTGCTGCTTCACGATCAGGCTGCAGCTCAGGAGCGATGGCCACCTCCTGCAGCATGACCACGTCGGCGTCGCACTCATTCTCGAGGAACCACTGCACGCTGCTCCAGCTGGTGGTATTGCAGGTGCATAACTTCCAACACTTGGGTGAAGCTGAAGACGCCGTAGGACCATCTCCAGCTTCGCGTTCTCGCCGTACTTCTTGCCGATCCGACAAAGGGTTTGGACGGGATGTGGCGCCCGCTGGGTCAACGGACGCCGCCTCGCAGGCACTGACGGGGCAATCAAAGGGTGCCCCCAACTTCTGGCCCACCTCGTCGCTGGACGTGCCGCTGTCCAGCTCCAGATGGTGGCTACCCCCGCGGCCTGGCCCCGCGGGCGTCGCGGCGCCCCGCAGCGTGGGCGCGGGCAGCGCCCCCAGCGGGCGCCGACTGCACCTCTGGGTCTCGCCCCTGGGAACGGCTGCGTCCCCTTGCGTCGGGCAGCCTCCCTTGGTCAGTAGCCCGAGCGAGAGCCCTAGTGGCTTCGTCCTGCACGCGCTGGTCCACCGCCACGAGGAGCTGCCCCCCAGCGGCAAGGGCACGTGGGGGGGGAGCCATGGGCTCGTCCGAGTCGGAGTCGTCGGCACCTGCCGCGTCCCAGGCTTGTCCTCCAGGATGTCCTGATGCCGCAGCGAACTCCTGGGTCTGCCGACACAGCGCCGCGGCCACCTCCTGCCCGCCGCCTGGGGAATGAGGCTGTCGTACAGCTGCTGGCGAGGCCCCACGCGCAGGCTCCGCATCAGCACGCTCAACAGGTCCCGCGCCCATCCCAGGCGCCGCGCCCGCTCCGGCCGCAGCCCCCACGACTGCCCCGAGGAACCGCTCGCAAGCCTCGACCAGGGCCGCGACCGCTGGGGGAGCGTCCCCCCCCACCGCGGCGCGCGCCTGGCCGAAGGCGGACTGGGCTGCACGCACCTCTGGGCCGAGCTGCGCCGCCCCTGGCGCCAAAGCCACGGAGGCGCGCGCCCTGGCGGCGGCGTACTCCTCCTCCAGGCCTCGCACCGCCTCCCGCTGGTCGGCAACCTGCACCATGATGTCGGTGGCCGCCTGCTCCAGCTTCTGGAGGCGACCGCGGGCTCCCAGCAGCTGGTTGGAGAGCGAGCTGACATCCTGCGAGGCTTGCCAGGCGTCCCAGGCAGGCTGCGCCAGCCCAGATTCCGCCATGGCGCGGCGGTGCAGCAACTTGTCACGCTGTGACTGGGTGAGCACCCCACTGAGGGAACGGAACTCCTCATCACTGAGCCCGAGCCACACGCGCTGCTCGTCCTCGGTGAGCGCCCGCGGCTTTGGCCCAGCTCCTGCGCCCCCACGAAGTTGGCCACGAGCTGGGTCAGCCCATGCACCACCAGGAGCACGAGGAAGGGCATGTTGGGGCGCCTTGGGCTTGGGCGCCCCGCAGAGGTAGCACTCGGTGCGCCACTCGAAGTTGTCCTTGCACGAACAGCGCTTGGCCGCACATGCCCATGCATTCCGCAGCCACCCATTGCCTCCCTTGGCCATCGGCTGCCGAGGGACAGACACAACTATGAAAGCTCAGAAGAGCAGGCCTGGTGGCAGGGCAGCACACCAGGAAATCACACGCCAAAAACACCCGAGCCTGCCGCACGGCTGCGGACAAGCACGAAGCCTCGCGGCAAGGTTTCGAACTTGAGCCAAAATGGCTTGAGCCAAAATGGCTACGGACCCTCCTAGCTCTACTCCTCCTCCTACTCCTCCTTCTCCCTGGAGCGGCCAGTGGCATCGCCATGTGCGGTCCCGAGGCACCCCAGACTGGCACGACCGATCAGAGGAGTGCATTTGCGAGTGGCGACGCGCCAATGGCTGTCTATATTTCCCACGCAATGCGGTAAGTCACCGGTACTAGTGCGACTACATCTGACATGGAAGCAACAAAAGCAAACGAACGTATGACGGGGATCAGAGAGAGGGAGAACAATGGAAATCACGGCGCCTGCCTGCAATCGCAATCCTCTGTGCATGGCTTCCTGCACCGATGATGGCACTTCGCCCGCGATGAACCGCTCCACTCGCTTGGCCCCAGCCGAGATGTGGAGCGTCTGCAAGCCTCTTCATTGAATTCTTTGGCGCTCATGGGCACTCTAGGGGTTCGCCGCGTGACCTCGTCCAGCGGCCCCGGGAGCGTGGTTTGGGATCCACACTCCCTACATGCCTTAAGATGATTCCAAGGGGCCGTCCTCGGTCTCCGTTGGGTGCCTCTTGGGTTGGAGGCATCGGCGACCGGATCAAGAGGACACAACTATTGGAAAATTTTGGGCTTCTCGCATTCTCTGCTTTCTGGCCTTGAGAGCTTTCAAGACGGCGCAAGCACTCCTATGACAGCCGCAAGACGGCCCCGTCCCCACGAGCGGCTCCAGAGGCCCACAAGAAGGCCCCGAGAGGAGCCCGAAGGGGGAACTCCTTGAGGGCCCCAGGGAGTGCCCCCGCCCACCTTCCATATGGCCCCCGAGACTATCAGCAGGCCCCCAGCAGCACCCAAGAAGCCCCTTGGGAGGCCCCCAGTCCACGATCCAGGCACGGTGGCGAGGTGAGCAGGAGGCCGCCAGCTCACCCTCACCCGCAGAGGGCTCCATATCTGCGGATGCAGAAGTTCGGCTCGCAGAAACATGTTCTGCCCTGCTGCCGAGAGCGGCGCATAAGGGTCACCGCTTGAGCGCCGGATGCTCGCGAAGCAATGCTCTCGACGGGCGACCAGTCGCAGCCGCCGTCATCACCCTTCGTTGCCACACCTCCGTCGCCATCGTCGTCGTCGTCGTCGTCCTCCTCCTCCTCCCTCCTCCTCCTCCTCCTCCTGCTCCTCTGGTCCTGGGAGGGAGGGGCTGTTGCGGTCATGGCATTCTTTTTGTGGCGTGGCCGGACTACTGGTCAGATCAGGCTTGCTCACACTCGTCTTCCGAGGCAGTGAGACTGGCGCAGCAGCACAGGAACTACGGCTGTATCTGGCGGCGCGCCAACTCCTTACTCCGAGCCTCGGGGGAGCAGGGAGGATGTCATGTTGCATCTTCGGTGGGCCTTGTCTGTCTGATCACACCGTTATCCGCGTTGAATCCGCGCCACATCCACGTCAAATGCCGAATCCATGTCGGATCCACGTCACATCCGCGCCGAATCTGCGCCGAACCCGCGTCGAACACAAGAAGACAACAGCAATTCACAGAACGGACCGAGGTCCCCGAAGATACACCGCGAGGGAAGGTCGGCGGTGGGGTGTCCAGGGGCGGCCTTCTAATGAGGCTGGGGGACTTCGTTGAAGAGCCGGGAGGCTACCGCGAAACCAGTTCAGGAGGAGGAAGGGCTGCTTGAAAGTCATCTGCCTTCTTGAAAGGCTACTCTCTCTCCTCCTCCACCCTCCGCCCCGAAAACTCCAGAGATCCTCCCCGAAACACCATGCCACCGACAAGCCGCAGGAGAAGACGGGGGCATATTTCTCTCCCTCGTTCTCTCTCTCTCTCTCTCTCGCTCTCTCGCTCTCTCTTCCTCTTCTTATCTCTCCTTCTCTCTCTATCTGCCTCGGTCTCTCTCTCTCTCTCTTTCTGTCACTCTCTATCCCCCTCCTCCGCCTCCTTCCCAGGGGGGTGGGGGCGGCGGGGAAATACAACACGGTGGCCAAAAGCAGCACGCATGTTTTGGCCTCGAGCGATCCCCACCGAAACCTTCGGCGCCTGTCCTCCTCCTCCTCCTCCTCCTCCTCATCTTCCTGCTCCCTTCCCTTCCTCCCTCCTCCATCCTTCCTCCGCCCGCCCCTCTCCTCCTCTCCCTCGCTCTTCCTCCTTCTCCTCCTTCTCCTCCCCTTCCTTCCCCTCTCCTCCTCCGAACTACCGAATGCTGCACCACCCCTGCCCCGGCAACAGCACCCCCTGGCCTAGCACATTTTTCCGAGCTGACCCCAAAATCGGACTTGAGCGTCGGGCGCCCGCCGGCAGGGGAACCGCCGCCGCCAGCGCTGATGTTTCTGAGATGCATACGAGTCTGATGTGCTGCTGTGTCACGTGCGGCTATGCCATGCTCTGTACAGTCATGTGTTCCGCCATGCTATGGTATGTCATGCGCTGTTCTGTTCCATTCTCCCATGCTCGTCGAAAGCGCGGGTGGCGGGATACTCGGGGAACAGTCGGTGGACCTGTGGATATGGCGGCCGCGGTCTGCAGGGTGGGCTGGTCGGGATGTCTGCTTCTTAAAACCTAACGACCCCAACCTGTTGTGTGGGGAACAAGTCTGCTGTGTGATGTCATGATCTGCTTTGGTATGTTATGTGTCGCTATGTCATGCTCTGTTCAACATTGCTCTGTTATGTCATATAATATTCGGCTATGTTCTGTTATGCGCTACTCTGTTCAATCTTGTCATGCTCGTCGAAGGCGCGGGTGGCAGGATACTCGGAGGGACACTCGATGTCATGGGGAATCTGGCAGCCGCGGTATGCGGTGTGGGCTGGTCGGGAGATCTGTCTTGAAACCTGACGGCCCCGGCCTGTCAGGCGGGGGACAAGTCTGAGGTGTTCTGTCATGCTGCTCTGGTATGTCACGTGTTGCTATGCCATGTTCGGTTCTGCCATGCTATCCTCGGTCATGTTCTGGCATGTTATGTTCTGTTGTGCGCTGCTCTGTTCAATTCTGTCATGCTCGTCGAGAGGGCGGGTGGCCGGATGCTCGGGGGGACGCTCGGTGGACCTGGGAATCTGGCGGCCGCGGTGTGCAGGTGTGGGCCAGTGGGGAAAGTCTGCTCTTGAGATCTGACGCCCCCGACCTCAACCCGATCTGTACGGCCAGACCCAGGACAGGATGAACAACAGCACCCAACAAGCACGAAGAACATTAGGGTACCCTCCCCGAGCCGACCTCGATCTTATACCTCGGTCCGACCGTATGTGGGACGTTCTGCTCCAGGCCGAACTGTGAGGACCCTGGAGAGCCCGAGGCGGGAAAGGAACGCCAGCCGTGATGTGTCCACGGCACCCGAGGGTCCCAAACAGTGTCAAGGGGGGTGAAACACTGAGGGTGTCTGGTCCGCCGCGTTGGGATCGTCGTCGCTTTCCCCTCGGCGTCGCCTTCCTTCTCTGCTCCCTCGAGGAGTGATGGGGCGGAGCAGCAGGAACAGGAGAGAGGCGGAGGCAAGACCAGAGTGAGCTCGATACGCCCCGAGGAGGATAACATCCTTCCAAAATCCTGGGAAACTCATTGTTGTTTGCTTTCTCGCCTTTTCGCCTCTGATGGCCATCCGAGGCTTCAAGTTGGCTCCAAGATGGGCCAAGAGGGTTCAAGAGAGGCTCAAGAGAGCCCCAAGACGGCCCCAAAAACGCCCAAGAGCGCCGTTCGGAAGAGGAACTGCGCTGCACCTTCTGTAGCGGAAACAGCCGAACATATGATTCGTATATCTGTCATCTAAGAGATCTAGGCCAGCGGCCCGACGGTTTTTACGCATGGGCCAACGTATGCTGTTAACAGTGGAGGGCAAAAGGAACTCAAGAAATGGTGACCATGCTCCGACAAGGTGGTTCAGAACCGCTGGCCCGGCTTTTCGCGAGGAGGTTGGTTCATCAAGTGCTCGCCTGCAACGACGACTGCGACACGGCGTGATCATACAATTCGCCCGGGTGTCCAGCGATATTCCCTCTTTGCTAAGGACCGCGCCCATCTGAGCAACTGTTGCTCAAGTTTGCACCTTTGAAACCCGGAATTCGAGGAGGCCTCGAGCGAATCCTCTTGTGGAGAAAAACGCCCTCCATCCGCTCAGCGGTGGCAGGCGTTCGAGCCCCTGGCCTTCCGATGCGAGGATGTTCCGGACGAGAGCCGTGCTCTCGACGAGGAGCCGCTGCCCCGACCCCGCACCTGCCATATACGGCTGCAGCGAAATGTGCGCGGCGCTGCGGCGAGCGCCCCGTGTTGAACGGGAGCCGTCCTCCATCGCTGTCCTCCTACCTCCCTCCTCCTCCTCCTCCTCCTCCTCCTCCTCCTCCTCCTCCTCCTCCTCTCCTCCTCCTCCTCCTCCTCACTCTTCCTCCTCCTCCTCCTCCTCCTCCTCCTCCTCCTCCCTGTGGCTGTGGATGTAAAACAAAAGTCCTCCTCCTCCTCCTCCTTCTCCTCCTCCTTCCCTCTCTCCTTCCTTCCCTCCATCATCCCCCCCCAATGTGCACCGTGCTAGCTACGGCGGAGGCCCCACAGGAACAGCCCTGCATCCTTGAAGCTGGCGCAAGCTTTTCAGACGAACGCGCTCGGCATTCATGCGATAGCCATATTTTGAAAAAACGACCCCGTGCGTCCGCGTGGACGTTGCCCGATTCGAACTCCACAACAGTAGATGGCGCAAGGCTACAGAAAGACACGCCCGGCCAACCGCGCCGTGTCAACGCGTCTGGGGCCGCGACAAAGAGGGGTTATGTATAAGACAGAAGGTGCAGGAGGATGGCTGACAAAACTTCTAGGTGTCTGAGCGGGCGGACTGGCATCGAACAGTTCCCCGGGATTGATGGACACGTCTAGGGC